GGAGGCCAGAAGGAGGCATTGGATCCTCTGGTACTGGAGTTGCAGAGAGTTCTGAGCCATCATGGTCCTCTGGAAGAGCAGCCAGTAATGAGCCACCTCTTCAGCCCCTATACCTCAGTTTTTAAAAATCCTCTTAGGTTGTATAGGAGTGGGGTTATATTGCTAATTTCCAATTCATTATTTCTTTTACCTGCTATTTATAAAAATAAATAAGGTATAGGTGACATATGTTTATCAATTAAAAATCACATTACAGACTAAAGGGATGTGGCTCAGAGGTTAAGAATGCATACTGCTCTTCCAGAGGACCCAATTTCTGTTCCCAGCACCCCCGTAAAGTATTTCACACCTACCTGTAACTCCAGCTCCAAGAGATCTTTTGTCCTCCAAAGGCACCTGTGTGTATGTGTTATGGATACACACACACACACACACACACACACACACACACACACACACACACACGAAATCTTTTTGGTTTAGTTATATTAAAAGACCCAGGTAGAATTCTCCACAGTCAGCCAGATCTCAGGCCTTTCACACTTTAATTCCAAAGAGAGAAAATGTGTTTTCTCCTCTATCTACAGCACTTTATTGCCAAAAGATTACCAAGTAGTTAGGAAAAGCTAGACCAATAAAAATGATGATCCAGTAATAAATACAAGTGAGCCCCTGCCACTTGCTGTAGAAAGGGGTATCATTTGTATACATGAAGTATTATAAAGTAATACATATCCAGAATTGTATTTTTGCCTTAAAAAACTTTAAGCCATCCAATCTAACCTCAAGGAATGCCCCTCTAGTTAGACAAGCATAGATCATGCAGATAGCAGGAAGATGTGGCCTCCTAATCAACTGAGTTTTACCAATGTTTTCCTAATGCATGCCATCCTTTCAGTTGTGAATTCAACTTGTTGATTATTTTGGGTTTTCCCATTTGTACTCATGATACTCACATAGGATTGTCAGAGTGGGTCGGGAGCACTCATAGAAGACCATAAGAGAGAGAGAGAACATGAAACATTAAATCTTGCTGTCAGAATTAAACAAAATAATCAGGATGGCTTCCACATTTTTCTGTGTAATAGAGCATTCTAAGTCATTTAAGAATTATCATCCAGTCCTGATAACACCTCTAATCCCAGCATTTGGAAGGCTCTGAGGCAGAAAAATAAAGAAGAGTTCCATGTCACAGAGGAGATTGAGGCCCCAGGAAATTGAATGGGCATCTGAGATCTCATGGCCGAAGTGGGTTTCACACACAGATCTCTCTCAACCCAGAGCCCTCCTACTCACCCTGCAGCCTCCCAGAACAGGAGGCTTTCTCTCCTGTTGTCTGTCTGCCTCCAGAAAGAGGGACCTAATCTGTCCTTGTGTAGTAGAGCAAGCTCAGGGCTTCTGTCTGTCTGTCTGTCTGTCTGTCTGTCTGTCTGTCTGTCTGTCTTGAGAGCCAGGACTTGACACACAGCAATACCTAAATACACACAAAAAGAACTAACTCCTAGTCACAGCAGGTGCAGCTACCCTTCTCAGAGAAAGGGGGGGGGGAAGCTCTGATGAGGGAGGAAGGGCATTCTGGGAAGTGGTCCTCTGTGTGAGCACAAGTGAGGATCGCCTCAGCTGCTCTTGCCAGCCCCTAGAGCTAACAGCTCCCGGAAAGCTGGCGGTTACTGCTGCTCCCATTCGCATTTTATTAGGTTTTAATCAGGCTTTCCTGTGAAGTGCTACATAAATTCAATTTTGGATTTCACAAATAAAGTAATCAAATGAGTGTGAGGCATCATAGTATCATAGGCATAAAATATTTTTCAAATGAAAATGATATTTTTAATTTAATCATACAAAAATCATCTGGATGCAGTATGTCTAAGTGGCAGAGAAATTGCTGTACTGCCTTACCCCCAGCCTCAGACAGCCATTTGTACAAAAGTTAGTGAGTTATTTCCAATTATTTAACTGTTTTCCCTGCTCTCCATTAAACTCTGACCTGATACTCATTAAAATGAACCATAGCCAGGGCATGGCAGGATGGCTCCGTGGGTAAAGGCACTGGCCACCAAGCCCGATGGCCTAAGCGCTATCCCTGAGATGCACACAGTAGAAGAAGAACTTTAACTCCCACCTGGTGACTTCTGACCTCCACACATGAACTGCCTGGCCTGTGGGTGCCCACACACAATAAATAAGCAAATAAAATCTACCTGAGAACTCAACCTCATATGAAGACATTTTCATAGGAGTATGATTTATGAATCTTACATTCATTTATGTGTGGTATTTGGAAAAGCTTCATGTGATATGGCTGGTGTTGTAGCTCTGTGGTAGAATACTTGCTAGCATGCTGAAGGCTCTGAGTTAGATCCCCAGCACTTAGAAGAAAGAAAGAAAAGAAAAGCAAACAGAAAGAATTTAAACTGGGTATGATAGAAAAATAAAAAACACAAGTGTGAATCAGTTCATAGCCTGATTTCTGGCCTCTGGGTTAACACATCACCTGAGCACCTTGAGCCCTGCTTTCCTTCTCTATAAAATGTATGATTCTCCCTAGCCTTCCAGATCTACAACTGTAGAGCCTTCTCCTGTGCTTGGATAGTCTCCAGAATCTGACTGTACTGACACCCCTAAGAATGAGGTTTTTATCTTTGCTAGAGCCAGCCCTGGTGCCAACACATGCACTGTCCTGCAGCTGCCTGGTCCCTGCTGGTTGCTTGCTTACTGATGGCACCAGTGGCAGTGAGGGGGTGGCACATCAATATTTCCTGCAATGGGAAATGCCCTAGACGAGAGATCGCTCTAATGTCTTCTTTGTTGCCCAAAGTAGGATGCCTTGGGATCCAAATAGCCAGGGAGTTGTAGTTTTAAATTTGCATGTAATAAAACTGGCTTTCATGCATGAAGCTGGCATCCAGGTCTGTGAGTCCTAAGACATTGTAGTAAACACTGCCGTGGTCAGGACACAAATTGGCTCCCTCATACTAGAAAACTCACAATTGGAATCATGTGTGTGACCATTGGAGCCTGACTACCTGCACTCAACATAACACCTTTGATGTTTAGGCTTGTTATAGAATATTCTACACCATCAGTTTGTTCTTTCTAACTGCTGAGGATTGCTCATAGAAGCCTCTTGGTTTGTTTGTCCATTCACCTAGCAATAGGCATTTGAATGCATTCATTTGGAGTCATTATTGGACTACTACAAGCAATCATGTATATAATATTTGTATTAACAAAGGTTTGAGGTTTTATGGGTATATGGATATATGTCTGCCTGTCTGTGTGTCTGTGTCTATGTCTGTGTTCTGGATTTTTTTTTTCAGGCAGGTTTGTGGTCTATATCTCGTTATGATTTTTATTTGTATCTTCTAAATTGCTAAGAATCTTAAACACCTTTTCATGTTCACTTGCCGTGTGTATGCCTTCTTTGATGCAGTAATTTCTCATCATTAGTTTTCTTCTAGAAGTCTTATAATTAACATTTTATGTTTAGACCTCTGGTCCATTTTGAATTGAGTTGTGAGGGCTGTGACTTGAATAAACACTTGTTTCTATTAGAAAATAGATGCCCAGATATCCTGGGTTGTCTAGATTGTCTTTCTCTGCTGAGTCAGATTTGCTCCTTTGTGGGTGAGGCACTGGTCCTAGTTGTGTGGCTTATTTCTGATCTTCATTTTCATTTCCTCACAAATTACATTATCCTGGTGATTTCAGCTCTATAGTTATCATGAAAATCAGGAACGTAAGTCTTCTAACCTTGCTTTACTTTTTCAAAACTGCTGTGACTGTTCTAGCTCCCTCACCTGTCCACATACACTGCAGAAACAACTTTTTGATATTTAACCAAAACACTTTGTCTGAGATTGTATTACATCTGTAAATCAGTTTATAGAAAATTGGCATCTGCCAGGCGGTGGTGGTGCATGCCTTTAATCCCAGCACTTGGGAGGCAGAGGCAGGTGGATTTCTGAGTTCGAGGCCAGCCTGGTCTACAGAGTGAGTTCCAGGACAGCCAGGGCTACATAGAGAAACCCTGTCTCGAAACAACAACAGAAAAAAAGAAAAAAAAAAGAAAATTGGCATCTAAACAGTACTGAATTTTCTTGTCTCTAAATGTATTTTCCCTTCATTTTTAGGGTCTCTTTTTCTTCTGGATTATAATTTGACTTTATCAATATTTAATAGTTTTCAATACATAGCTCCTACACGCACACTTTGTTAGATTTCTAAATATTTTAGTTTTTAAAAAGTCATTGTAGGGCCAGATATTTTATTTGTTTGGTTTTTGTTTTGTTTCATTTTTATTTCATTGTGTATTTTTCAAATATGTTATTGAATTCAATTTGCTAATGGTTTTATATCTAAGTTTGTAGAGAATATCAGTTTATTATTTTCTTATGCTATCTATTTTTGGTGTCAGAATGATAAATCTTAAAATGACTTAGATATGTTCCCTTCTATTTTCTAGAAGAGATATGGAGAATTGATGGTATTTCTTTAGATGTGTGGTAAAATTCACTAATGAAGTCATCTGGACCTGGAATGTTCCTTGAAATGTTTAAGAGATTTAATTTCTTCAATAGACACAGATAGGTCATGTATTTAGAGGAGAGAGGGGGTTAGTAGTTTGTGCTTTCAAAGAATTGCTTGGTTTAAGTCATTGAGTACTCAGCTGGACCTAGAGTTCTTAAATAATCCCTTTTTATATTTGACGTCATTGTGGTCTGTGCTGAGAGCCCCCCCTTGTGTTCCTAGTCCTGCCAATAATGTCTCTCCATTTTTGCCTGTTAAGCTATAAGCATGTCAGTTTTATTCATTTTCTGAAAGAAGCATCATTTTGTTACCTTGATTTCCAGTCACATTCCTTTCTTTTGTTGTTTTCTTTTGTCTCCTTATTCCATGAAACTTGATAAAGGCAAAAGTTATCACCATCATTGCTATAGCCTGATTTAACTATTCTTCAAGGAGATATCCTAATAGCTTTCTCTGTTCCCTCCTTGCAGTTGACTGGTCTGAGTGTCTCCAATGGGAAGGACCAGCTTGTAGTGTTCCATACAAAAGACAACAAAGACCTCATTGTCTGCCTCTTCAGCAAACAGCCAACCCATGAAAGTCGCATTGGAGAACTTGTTGGAGTCCTGGTGAATCATTTCAAGAGGTAAAATTTTATTTTTGTAGCTAAAAGACAAATTTTAAATACACAAAATGTTTGATCATACTTATCACTGGACTTGGTTCATGCCGATGTGAATATATTGTTGTTTCCTCCACAAGGACAAATTAAACCATCTTTTTCATTGGAGGTAAAATTAGCATCCGGCCTTATTTCAATAATCTTCTGCTTTTCCAGTATCTAGCTTTGTCAACAATGAGAGATTCTCCTGTGGTTCTTTCATTGCTGCCAATCCAAATGTAATGTAATTCAATCTAAACAATGGAAGAAATTACTTTATATTCTTATGGCCACATTTATCCCAGCATAATCAGTTAGTGTGTCTGCTGTGGCTATAAACAAATTAGAAGGCAGATTTAAGATAGCATGTAGGCTCGTAAAGGTTGAAGAAATTCCCAGGACAGGGAGAAATTGTTATGGAAACAGTCATGACAGAAAACAGCATATTCTGAAAAATCACTCTAAAGCAGCATGGTATCTGGGGGAAAGGGCACAGAGAGTTGGAACAATGCTATAGGCTGGAGAGATGGCTCAGCACTTAAGAACACTGGCTGTTCTTCCAGACGACCCAGGTTCAATTCTCATCCTCCAGAAGCTTACAAACATTTGTAACCCTAGTTCCAGGGGATCTGACACCTTCTTCTGGCCTCCGTGGGCACTACACACTTATGTGGTACATAGATATGCATGCAGGCAAAACACTCATCACATACACACAAAAATAAGAAAATTTTAAAAATATATATATAATGGAATACAGACCCCGACTCCCACCCTCCGTAGTGGGAACTAGTCAGTAAATACTTTTAAACAGGGGAGTAAGTTATCAGGTTGTTGAAATGTTGGAGATGATATGGAATAGCCATGCTGTAAGGGGTCATGGAGTATTGAGGCAGTACCCTCTCCTAAGTTTATGTTCTCATCATGGTGTGCTTTCTTCCCCCCCCAACCCTCACCCCCACCCCATCTTGATGTGAGAACGAACAAGGTGACACTACAAAATCAGTGGTGGCAAATGGTACAGATGGCAGTTCCTTTTCTTCCTGAAAGACATTTCCATGTTTTTATAAATGTTTAGCGCTGCCTGCTAGTGTGACCACATGTTCTACTGCCTTTCTTGTTGCTGATAAGATGTACATAGTGTAATGTAAGCAGTCTTGTTTTGTTTGGGACATGATCTCTGTGTAGACCAAGCTGACTTCAAACTCAGAGATGCTTCTACCCCATCTCCTGAGTACACTGTTCTTCGTTATTAAATCTTGTATTCTAAACCAAAATAGATCTTTACATATTTATATATCTTATAAATTATGCTTACTGGTCACCTAGTAGACCACTATAGCATGTATAGAATTGATTTTTTTTAAAAAGTATATATATACTCAAAGACAGAAACAAGTCTATCTCTGAGTTCAAGGGCAGCCAGGTCTACAGACTGAATTCCAGGATTCATATTCTCTCTCTCTCTCTCTCTCTCTCTCTCTCTCTCTCTCTCTCTCTCTCTCTG